AATGGCCTATCTGTCCCTCATGAGAAGTCTAGACTCATTCCTTCTAGAAAGATGTGATACTGTGAACCAAAAAGTAGGATCATCTAGGGCTTGTAACAACGACAGCTCTGCCTTCTTCCCCTGGCTTTTGGAGATTCTCTTCCTATAGTCTTTGTTATAAATCCCCTTTCTTGTGTCCCCTCTAGCAATGTGACCCAGAAAAAATGATCACAGAAAGCAAGTTCCTCCAGCTGGAATCACTGCAGGAGCTCATGAAGGTAAAGATGAAGAAGTCTGAGAGGCAACAGGGTAGTGGTGTGTGCCTCGACTTCTGTTGGAACAGAGCCAGTGGCTGGCTTGTAGTCCATCCCTACTTTGCCTGCTCCTGCCCTCTAGGCTCTGGTCTCAGTGACAGCAGATGAAGAGACATACGATGAAGAGGATGCTGCTTTCTGTCTGGAGATGCTGCTGAGGATCGTGTTGGAGAACAGGTAGGAGGGGCCATCTCTAGGCGAACCCTGCACTGAGCATGTGCTGAAAGGCTGGAAGCTGTCTTGCTGAGTAGCCCCTGGGTGCAAGAAACACACGAAACTCTGAGCAGAAGGGGCGATCTTAAGCTTGACAGCTTAGGGCACAATGCCAGTGAACTATGAAAGGCCTACGAGTTTATTACCCAGTGATCTGTCCAGTTGAGACTGTCCTTACCCTTTATGATTTTTAGGGACCGTGTGGGCTGTGTATGGCAGACTGTTCGAGATCATCTGTACCACTTGTGTGTTCAGGCACAAGATTTCTGCTTCCTTGTGGAGCGGGCAGTGGTAGGGCTGCTACGCCTAGCTATTCGGCTGCTCCGGAGAGAAGAGATCAGTGGCCAGGTAAGCAAGTGCATGTAGGAGGGTGGGCAAGTATGCAAGGGACTAAGGCCACAGTATCAGCTATGGGAATGGCCTAAGGTAGAAAGTACATTTAGTGTCCTGTAACTCTAACCCAGTGACTAACAGGGCTGGTGCAGTTTAACAGTGGCATTGAGGGTGATCCTGGAATGGTCTTAGACATTAAGTCTGCTTTAGGGTTGGGCTGCTGCTGTTTTCTAGTTTCTGTATCTGGTTTCTTGTTCTGGGGGCAGAGGTATTGAAGTTTCTTATTCTTACATTTAGAACTCTAAGGGTAAGATCCCATGGTTCAAATATAAAAAATTAGTACTGAACAACAATTAGGTTTAACAGTCACAAGCAAAGCCATACTTCCACATGATAATATGAACATATGGAAGTTGAAGTTAAGAAATGTAATTGCAGGGCTGAAGAGGTGACTCAGCCATTAAGAGCATTTGCTGCTCTTGCAAAGAACCTGGATTCAGTTCCCAGCACCCACATGATGGCTCCACACTCTTATTCCAAAGGATCCAATGCCCTCTTCTGACTTCTGCAGATTCAAGGCACACATGTGCATATACATACATGTAGGCAAAACACTTAGAAGAGGAGGAGAAGAAGAATACAGTTTCAGATATATAAAGAGAAGCTTTTTCTTTGAGAGAAGCCTTCCTGCCAGCCTGGTTCTAGTGCCGCATCAGTCCCAAATAAACACACAGGAGGCTATATTAATTATGAAGCTGTTGGCCTTGCTTGTTTCTTACTGGCTAGCTCTGACTTAAGTAATTACCCCATAATTGTTAATCTAAGTATTTCTCTTACCAGAGAATAGTTCCGGGCTTCCTACCCCATGGCGTTACATCTTGACTCTCTGTGTTTCTCCTTCCCAGAGTTCTCCTGAACTCCTAGTCCCACCTATCTAGATTCCTATTGGCCAGCAGTGCTTTATTGAAAAATGCACAGGACTTCCTCCCAACACAGATAGACATGGTGGTTACCTGCCCTTAATCCCAGTGGGCAGAAACAGCCACAGCCAGATGTCTGTGAATTTGAAGGCAGCTAGAGTCACAAAGATCCTGTCTTTTAAAACAGCAATTCCAGCCTGTCATGGTGGTATATGACTTTAATCCTAGCACTTGGGAGGCAGAGGCAGGCAGATCTTTTTGAGTTTGAAGCCAATATAGTAAGAGACTCTGCCTCAGATATATGGCATGGTCACTCACCTGTATGATACCAGCATCCAGGAGATAGAGACAGACAGATCACCAAGAAATCATGGCCAACCTGGACTACATCATGAGTTTCAGAGTGGGACCCTATCTCAAAATAGGGGGCAGGGCTTTGGCAGCACAGATTTTTGTTGTTTGTTTATTTACAAGATAGGATTTCACTATCTAGCTCTAGCTGTCTTGGAACTCAGTATGTAGACCAAGCTAGACTTGAACGCAAACTCACAGGAATCACAGCAGGACAGGATTTTAATCCTTGCACTTGGGAAGTGAAGGCAGAGGCAAATAGGAGTTCCTCAGTGGTTAAGAGCACTGGCTGCTCTTCCAGAGGATCCAGGTTTAATTCCCAGCACCTACATGGGAGTTCACAGCTGTCTGTAACTCCTGTTCCAGGGGAATCTGATGCCCACATACAGACATGCCTGCAGGCAAAACACCTGTGTACATAACAAATAAGTGAATTATTTTTAAAAATTGAAGAAAAAAAAAGATCCTGTCTCAAAAGAACAAACATAAAAGCAATACCACTTACAAGTGAATTACAACATTTATATGCTAAAAACTAGAAAATGCAGCTGGGTGCCTTTAATCTCAGCACTCAGGAAGCAGAGGCAGGCAGATCTCTGTAAATTCAAGGCCAGCCTGTCTACATAGCAAGTTCCGGGCCAACTAGAGCTATGTAGTGAGGCCCTGTCTTAAAAAAAAATTACAAAAATGCTAAGCAGAGACCCCTGAATACATCAAGAGGCCATACCATGGGTTAGAGAACTCAACAGCTAAGATGCCAGCCCTTCCTACACCAATGTGTACATATGATATGTAAAGCAGCTGGCTGGCTGTATTACATTGGGGGATTTTTTGTTTTTCGAGACAGGGTTTCTCTGTATTGCTTTAGAGGCTGTCCTTGAACTCACAGAGATACACCTGCCTCTGCCTCCCGAGTGCTGGGATTAAAGGCGTGAGCCACCGCTGCCTGACTAATGCAGCTTTCTATAATATCCCATCAAAGATTTTTGTGGATCTAGAGAAGCTTATTCTCTAGGTCCCTGCAATAGCCAAACATTTTGACAAAGAATGAAATGGGAGGAATATTATACCTAGTTTGTTGTTGTTGTGTTATATTTTAATTTATTTGCATGGATAAGTAGGTGTGTGCACATGTGTGTGACACAGGTGTACATGTGGAAGGCAGAAGACATCTTGTATTCCTCGGATATAACTCAATTATCAGTCTTGGCATGGTAGCAAGTGCCTTTACCCACTTACCCAGCTCAACGGCCTGGGTTTTTGTTTTTGGTTAGGTTTGTTATTGTTTTTGAAACAGTCTTACTGTGTAGGCCTGATTGGTTATTTTGACTTAGGGTCTAATGTGTATCTCTGTAAGACTTCACAGTCTTCCTGCCTCTGCCTCCCAAAACTGGGATTTCAGTTGTGTACCCCATACTCTGCCACTCTAGCCAACATTAAACTTTATTATAGCAACAATTATGTAGGCTGGAGTACTTCCAAGGTTAAGAACACTGGCTCCTCTACCAATGGACCCCAGTTGAATCTCCAGCACCCACACAGTAGCCAACAACCCTATGGAGCTCCAATCCAGGCATCTGATGCCCTCTTCTGGCCTCTGTAAATACTGCATTGGTGCAGTCACATACAGTCAATACATACAAGCAAATCATCCATACACATAAACAATAAATAAACTTTAAATCATGTAGATGAAGAAATAGACAGATAAAGCTATTAAACAAATAGATGACCCAGAAATATGTTCAACTAAATGGTTTTGGACTGTTTTGCTTTGGGGGTTTTTGTTTGTTTGTTTGGTTGGTTGGTTTTGATTTTGAGACAAGGTCTTTTTATGTAGCCTAAGTTGGCCATATTCTTGTCTTGATCTCCCAAGTGAGCTTTGGCTTAAACCTTTATTTTGCAGAAAAATTAAACAGATGATAATTTGAAAGCCATAATGGAGGGGCTGGAGAGATGGCTCATTAGTGAAGAGCACTGGCTGCTCTTGCAAAATGCCTTGGGATGGGTTCCCAGCACCACACAGTGACTCACAACCATCTGTAACTCCAGTTCCAGAAGATACAGTGCCCTTTTGTGACCTCCTTGGGCAGCAGACATGTACATGGTACACATAGCATACGTGTAGGCAAAACACTCATACACATAAAATAATAGATCTAAAAAATCAAATGTATATATTGTAAACCTTTAGTCACATAGGAGAAAACTTTATGATCTAAACTAAGTATTTCTAATGTGGTTTATTAGTTTATTACATACCTTTTTTTTTTAGTCAAAAGCCTGAACACAAACATCACTACATCAGGGAGGGACTCACGCTCACATCTCTCCTTGTAGACCTGGTCACAGTCTAAAACAAGCTTATTTTGCCTCTGTGCATAACCCTAAATTCTTCCTTCCCCTCAAGTGTCTACACTCTGACTACAAAGTGGAGCTGGGAAAGGTATAGAAAAATAAAGAGACCCTTCCTGCTCTTGTTCCTGTCCAAGCATCTGAAGTGACAAAAGCCTCCATAGTAACAGGAAGCAAAGAACTCCGACTGAAGGGCTGGGTACCTACCCAGCAAGAGGCTGTTCCTGCTTGTTGTAACTTGTGTGTCCCTACAGATAGGACTGTAACTAACCAAATGGTTAGTTAGTTAGATAGTTTTTAATTTTTAATTTATTTGAAATAGAGTATCACTGTATAGCCCTGGCTTGCCTGGAACTCACTGTATAGACCAGGCTGGCATTAAAGAAGTGTGCCACCATCCACCATGCCCAGCCCAGTAAGGATATTAAAAGCACAATCCATAAGATGGAGAATTGATAAATTAGACTTTACTCATGCTCAAAATTTTCAATCTATGACAACTTAGTTGAGAAAAATGAAAAATTATAAAGCGATATAAAATGTTTATAAATCATGTACTTGAGAAAAGCCTAGTATCAAAATGCAAACATGGAAAAAAAGAAATATTTCACAGATGATATACAAATGGCCAATAAGCCTGTGAAATAACATTTGCCATTAGAAAAATGCAAAAAATAACACACACCACTATGTACTTACCAGAACAGCTAAAATTAAAAGTGATAATACCAAATGCTGGCAAGGACACAGAGAAACTAGATTATTCATACATTTCTTATGGGAATAAAAAATAATGTAGCTACTCTAATGGCAGTTTATTATGAAACTGAATATTCACTTACCATACAACCCAGAAAATACACTTTTGGGCATTTATCCCAGAAAAAAATGAAGGCTTATTTTAACTTAAATATATGTATAAATGTTCACTGAAGCTGTAGTAGTTAAAGCCAAAAGCTGGAGTCAGCCTGACGACTTGCCGTAAGGGAATAAACTGTGGTACGAACATACGGTGAAATGCTATTCAGCTACTTAGAGCAGCAAACCTGATGTGTAAAGATGTAGGTGGATCTCCAGGTCGGGGAGACCAGGGGTAAGCGATAATTCTATCTAGATAACATTTGGAATTCACAGAATTTTAGAAGTTGAGGACAGATTGCTGAGGATTAGGGATGGGACAGGAGACAAGGATTAGAAATGTAGCTCTCCAGCAGCAGCGTGGGTCCCTTCATGTAGGACTAAGCACATCATAGTACACATGGGAAAGCCAGTGGAAACCAGTAGATTATTCCTAATTCTGTCCTTATTGACATGTTATGGTTAGTTCTACATCATTGTTTTTGGGATAGACTAGACAACGTAATGCAAGGAAGCTCTTTTTCTTTTTTTCTTTTTTCTTCTTTTTTGATTTTTTTTTTTTAAGACAGGGTTTCTCTGTATTGCTTTGGAGCCTGCACTGGAACTCGCTCTTTAGACCAGGCTGACCTCAAATTCAGATATCCACTTGCCTCTCTCTGCCTGCCAAGTGCTGGGATTAAAAGTGTACATCACCACCACCCAACCATAAGGAAACTCTTTATGTGTTGTTATAACTATATGTGAACATATAATTAATAAGAATACCAATATAAAAAAATGATGCATGGTCAAGGGTGTAAGGCCCAGGGTTCAATCCCAGTACTCCAAAAGAAAAGAAGACAAGGCTAGCTCAGCCAACTCTCCTTACTACCTAAGTGACTAATGGGGAAGACTGTATCTGTGTTTGTCCCATCCCAGGTCCTGCTGTCCCTGCGCATCTTGTTACTGATGAAGCCCAGCGTGCTGTCCAGGGTCAGCCACCAGGTTGCCTACGGGCTCCATGAACTCCTCAAGACCAATGCAGCCAACATCCACTCTGGTGACGACTGGGCCACCCTCTTCACGTTGCTGGAGTGCATTGGCTCAGGGGTGAAGCCTCCAGATGCTCTACAGGCCACAGCCAGGGCTGATGCTCCTGATGCTGGTATGCCCCTCCCCAGGAAGATGCTCACTGGCAGATAAGCAGTTAGGACCCCGGAGCTGCAGTGGGAAACCAAAACACAGGTTACACAGGCTATTATGTTCAGATTGAAAACACCTGATTCCTGCCATCTGCTTCCAGATACTCTTGTGCGCTTGGCTACCCACAGGCTATATAGCATAAAGGCAGGTAGGCAGTGCAGAAGGCTATCAAGCCAAGTTTCTACTGCCCTGAAGACCATTTTACAGAAACCTATGTCCTATGCCAGCCCTTTCCTTAACAGCTGCTATTAGCTACAATCAGAAGCCTATATTAGCTTGCTGCCCTGCTTGGTCAAGAGAGACATTGTTCAGGCCTCAGCCCTTTAGTAGCTGGACCAAAAGTAAGCCAGGCATGAGAGAAGATGCCAGGCCTAGCACTTTTCTTCAGGATCTGTTATCCTGTTCCATGTCCCATCTCTGCTCTTACTCTGCCTTTTCCCTGCCTGGCTTAGGAGCACAGTCAGACAGTGAGCTCCCATCCTACCATCAAAATGATGTCAGCCTAGACCGAGGGTACACTTCCGACTCAGAAGTCTACACTGACCATGGCAGGCCTGGCAAGATACACCGATCTGCCACAGATGCTGATATGGTCAACAGTGGTTGGTTAGTGGTGAGTATACTACCATCCTGAGATATAAGAAAGATTCTGGGTCCTCAGAGAGACACCTGAAGTCCCTTATAGGGAACAGGGGCTCCAGCTTGCGCCCCGTATATTTTACAGGTGGGGAAGGATGACATCGATAACTCCAAAGCAGGAGCAGGGCTCAGCAGGCCCAGCCCTTCACCCCTGGTTAATCAATACAGCCTCACAGTGGGCCTAGACCTGGGGCCCCATGACACTAAGTCCCTGCTCAAGTGTGTGGAATCACTGTCCTTCATTGTTCGTGATGCTGCTCACATCACCCCTGACAACTTTGAACTCTGCGTCAAAACTCTCCGCATCTTTGTGGAGGCCAGTCTGAATGGTGGTAAGTCACCTGTTGAAGGGACAGTTGGGCAGTGGGTCAGGTGGAGAAGGGGAAGGGTGGGGCATCTTCGACCTGAGGCTATGGGAATGTGACACAAGTCTGGCTCTGCTCAGGGTGCAAGTCCCAGGACAAACGTGCCAAGAGTCACAAATATGACAGCAAAGGGAACCGCTTCAAGAAAAAAACGAAGGAGGGCTCAGTGCTTCGGCGGCCCCGAACCTCCAACCAGCATGCTACTCGGGGTGGGCATAGTGATGAGGAAGAGGATGAAGGAGTGCCTGCCAGCTACCATACGGTGTCTTTACAGGTCAGTCAGGACGTAAGTATGGCACCCTTTACTTCTTCTCCTTCACTGAGACTCAGGACTTGGGTGGGACCAGGGAAAGTCAGAACTCAGAAGAAATATCATTGTGTACTGCCCCCCCCCTCTCTGTCACAGTGTTTCTCTTATCCAAAGCCACCTGTAAGGCTTTGCTTACAGTGCATGCTGTGTAGACCAGGCTGGCCTCAAACTCACAGATCTACTTGCCTCTGCTTCCTGTGTACTGGGGTCAAGTGTACACATCGCACTAAATTAAATTCATATTTTTTGAGCTGGGAATTTATCTCAGCCTAGCATGTGTAAGATCCTTAGTTCAGTTTATATATTTAAAGACTTCCCTTATTTAATACGTAACATATGCACATGATAGAAGGTTCAGAAGATATAAAAGCATAGACTGATAAGATTGAGTTTCCATTCATTCCTGTATCAGCCAGAGTTCCCCTAGAGGCACTATATCTCTAGCATTTTGTCTGTCCTCCCATAGTTATTAAGTGTCTGACTAAATAGAGAAACAGTTGCCTTCAGAATAGCCTTAGAAAGATGATGAAAAGCCGGGCATGGTGGCGCATGCCTTTAATCCCAGCACTCAGGAGGCAGAGGCAGGCAAATCTCTGCAAGTTCCAGGCCAGCCTGGTCTATAAAGGTATTTCCAGGATAGCCAGGGCTACACAGTGGGTAGGAGGCAGGAGAGATAGCTCAGCAGAGGACAGATAACCCAGCTTCAGATCCTAGTACCTATATCAGGTGACTAACTCCAGTGTCAGGGAATCTAACACTCTGGCCTCTGCAGGTACCTGTGCACACATGGTGTACTGAAGTCACATGGACACATGCGCGCGCGTGCACACACACACACACACACACACACACTTCTAAGAATAACTTAATTTGGAGGTTGGAAAGGTATCTCTGCAGTTAAGGGCACTAATTGCTCCTCCAAAGAACCCAGGTTCAGTTCTCAATACCTACCTGGCAACTCACAACATCTGTAACTACAGGTTGAGGGGACTCTGATGCCTTCTTCTGCCTCTGTAGGCACTGCACATACATGGTATACAGACATACTACAGGCAGAATACCCATACAGTATAAAATAAAAATGATTAAATCCTTTTTTAAAACAGAATAAATAGCCGGGCGTTGGTGGTGCATGCCTTTAATCCCAGCACTCGGGAGGCAGAGGCAGGCGGATCTCTGTGAGTTCGAGGTCAGCCTGGTCTACAAAGCGAGTTCCAGGACAGCCTCCAAGACAATACAGAGAAACCCTGTCTCGAAAAACCAAAAAAAAAAAAACAGAATAAATACATTTGGGAGGCAGAAGCAGGCAGTCTCTGAGTTCAGGGCCGTCTTTGTCTACAGAGTGAGTTCCAGGACAGCCGGGACTACACAGAGAAACCCTGTGGGGGTGGGGGAGGTTGATTTTTTTTTTTTAAAGAAAACTGGTGAAAACAAATCCGTGTTAAGTCTGGCCTTTGAGCCTGAGGTTACTGTCTCCATTCGTTTACCATTGAGTGTAAGCACATGCGCATAGCGTGAGAGTGAGGTTGGAGGGCACCTTTGTGAGCTGCTTCTCCTTCTCCCTATGCTCAGGTCAGGGCTCAGCTCAGGCTGCCAGGCTTGATGCCAAGCACCTCTACCTGCTGACCATCTCACCAGCCCAACAAGGGCAACTGACCTGACTCGAGAGATGACTCAAGTGCATAAAGGTGCTTGCTGCCAGGCCTGGTGACCTGAGACAGCCCCAGAACCCACATGATGGGAGACAGGACCAGTTCCTACAAATTGTCCTCCACACGTTGTCACACACACACACACACACACACACACACAAGTACTTTTTTATTATAATAAGATTAATAAAACCACTCTATCAGTAGGTATGGAATACGATTGACAGTGTCTTTCTTGGAGCCAGAGAGATGGCTCAGCAGTTAGGAAGAGGATCTGGGTTTCATTCCCCCACCCACATGGCAGCACACAGCAATTTAACTCCAGTCCCAGACGATCGATGTACATAGGGTCCCCTCTTCTCTCCTCCATGGACACAGCACGCACATGACAAACAAACAAAACATGTGTACAAGCAAAACACCCATAAAATAAATTTTAAATTAAGACAGGAAGATTTTTCATTCTCCCTGAAATCTTGTGGCATAGATTCAGTGTGCATGTCTTCTAAAGTCTCTCTCCTGTGATAGCTCTTGACTTCCTTACTCGGAGGAACACTGCCAGGACTAGAGCAGTGAGCCCAGGCTGAAGCAAAGAGCTGTAAGAGGAGTGGGGTGCCGCATAGCTTGTGCTGCGGGTCCCTTGAAGACTCAGTCAGGGATAGTGGGGAGGGTGGGGAGGACCCAGCAGAACAACTCTGGTCGCATCCTACACTCTCCTCATCCCAGCTGCTGGACCTGATGCACACCCTGCACACCCGGGCAGCCTCTATCTACAGCTCATGGGCAGAGGAGCAGCGCCACCTGGAGTCAGGTGGCCGGAGGATTGATGCTGACTCACGCACCCTCTGGGCCCACTGCTGGTGCCCTTTGTTACAAGGTAAACCTGGGGAAGGGTACAAGGTAGACAGGCGACTCGAAGCTTGTGGAGCAGCAGGTCAGTGCCTGGAAGACCCTGATCCTGCTCTCACTCTCAGGTATCGCCTGCCTGTGCTGTGACGCCCGGCGCCAGGTGCGGATGCAGGCTCTGACGTACCTGCAGCGAGCACTTCTGGTGCATGACCTACAAAAGCTGGACGCCCTGGAATGGGAGTCCTGCTTTAACAAGGTAGGACTCTTGCTGGTCTTAAGAGGAAGCTCAAATCATAAGACAGGAAGAGCCATCCAACCTAAAGAGCTCCTGCCATCCACCGCCATCAGAGGGTCTCTGCTGGTCTATGTCAGTCCACCAGGCTCAGCCTTCCAGGGAAGGTGTCCAGTCGACTGTGCTAAGGTGACATTGGGTGTTTACCTACCAGGTGCTGTTTCCTCTGCTGACCAAGCTGTTAGAAAATATCAGCCCTGCAGATGTGGGTGGGATGGAGGAGACCCGGATGAGGGCTTCCACGCTGCTATCAAAGGTACTGCTCACCACCCTGCTGTCCCTGTCCCTGCTTTTCCCACAGAGAAGCCAGGTCTTCTCATAGGGCTCAGAGATGACGTGTAAGTGCTCAGGGCTGCCCAGGGACTCAGGGAGGTCTGGATTTCAGAGAAACCTCTGACTGAATACTTATTAGCTGGGGCCAGCTTCCCTCAGCTTTGGAGAGGGCCACAGGAGGCACCTCCACTGCTGTTGGCTAAAAGAGGCTGGCTGTGGGCTCTAGGTTTTCCTGCAGCACCTGTCTCCACTGCTGTCGCTGTCCACCTTCGCTGCCCTGTGGCTCACCATCCTGGACTTCATGGACAAGTACATGCATGCGGGCTCCAGTGATTTGCTGGTATGTTCGGCCTCGACCACTTCCTCTTCCCATGCTGAGACAACCTGCTGTTTGCCCTTCGTGGCTGCCTCCCGCTTACCTCTCACTGCTGTTCATACTCTCACTGCCGCCTCAGTCAGAAGCAATCCCTGAGTCCCTGAAAAACATGCTCCTGGTGATGGACACGGCTGAGATCTTCCACAGTGCAGATGTGAGGGGCGGCGGCCCCTCCGCCCTCTGGGAGATTACCTGGGAGCGCATCGATTGCTTTTTGCCACACTTACGTGACGAGCTCTTCAAGCAGACTGTCATCCAGGGT